TGTCGCCTAGCGTGCTAAATTTCTTCAAAAGAGAAAAAGCTTAAAGAACGTTTTTCAGATTGGCTTTTCTTTTCAGACATTTTTACAACACCTTTAAACAACAAATTAATAAATTTCTTTGTATATGTACGCGTATAACATTTTTGCATTTTGTCTGATAACGAGTGCCCCCTTAACGCACAAAAAAGTATGTATACAAAAAATGTCTCTTATTTTTATTTCCATTATAATATATTCGAAAGCTAAAATCAAAAGGAATTTTTGAAGCATTTGTGTTGTCTTATATGTTATATTAATTGTAAATATTTAAAACACAATGTACATTACCTCGAGGGAAGCTTGAGTACCGGTGAGATCTTCGGTATTCTCAAACTCCTTATGTATCACATCGTGTGGTGGAAGTCCCATCGGATAAACGATTGTCACGGCACCTCTTAACAAATCCAAAGCTTCCTGAACTATCTTTTGAGTAATCAGTTTCTCTTGTTGCACTAATTTCTGCGATTATATATAAAATAATATTAAGTAATATTATAGAGAGTTTAGAAAGAGTAAAATGTAACAAATTAAATCGCATTTATTTACTTTTGACGTCATGGTACGTGCATCCTCAATGGTTTTTTTTAGCACCTCCTGCATCTTTTCGTTAGGTTGTCTACCATTTCTACGACCTGTATTTATCTAAACTCAGTCTTATATAATTTATTATGTGAAATGTATACAATTTTAAATATATTTATGCAATTTGAGTATTTTTAATAAAGTTTTCATATTATTTAGTAAATATTTGTAAAACTAAAGTAAGAGATTCGATAACAAAATCAATACATTTTCCATAATAACATTATTTTTGTTATAACATATCAAAATGACTAGATAATTTTACAATAACTATTATGAAGTTTTATTGAAATATGCAAATAGAAAATATAATAGAAATTAGATGCTATCAAAAGTAATAAAAAAAAAATATATGTGATAATTTTAGTAGTGTACTTGCGTTTATTTATTATTGATATGAAATAAATAAATAAAATATAGCTAATTATATAATATCATAAATTATAAGCTTAAATATGTATATTTTTAAAAATAAATATATATACTTTGCTTTATTTATTAGCTCCGCAGGCATTTTTATTTTTTAAAAGTTTTTATGAAAGAGTTGTGGTTCATTATCGATGATGCCACGAGGCGTTAGTTTTTATAGTAAAATCTATTATTATGCGATGCCGACGAACAATGTTACGTACCGATCTTGTCTTTGTTGAAAGTCCAACCGCCCATGGGCACGCACTTGTCGGCCCATTCGTCCTTGAGCTTGAGCTCCTCGACCTGATCGTCCGTGAGGCCCATTATGTCAGGTGGTAACATCACGCCGTGCTTAGCCAGCTCCTCGATCTCTGTTTTTCACGAAAGAGATACTTATGAAAGAGCAAACGCGCGAGAGGGAGAGTGAGCGATCGTACTCAAGTATATAAGTCCGTATAATTATCCCGCGTGACTAATATCACACGATAGCCAGGATAGATGGGTTCATAAACTCAGGCCTCGACTTCTTATTACATGCTGTTATTACTAGCCGCGGGTGTGCTCTGAAGAGATAATCACTAATGGATTTTTCGCGTTAATATTCCGACTGCAAGGCCAGGGCCTTGCCTGCAGGTTCACCTCGTCCCACAAAAGCTCGTAAAAAAAATAATTCATATTGTCCTTACTGCAGCTTATTCATATCTTACGTTATATAGAGATATATATACTATGTATATATAAGAATTTTTCATGCTTATCCTGTGTATGTTAAATCTTATATATTGCGAAAGAAAATAAAAAATTATTTCTTTTATATATTTACTTTTTAATCTTATAATATAATTATGGTTTTTCAAAGTAATCGAAATCATTTGGAATTACTTAAACATATATTTAACTATATTTTCTCACTATGTTCAGAGCAACCTGGCACTGTAAAGAGTACACATAAAATTACCATAACAAATTCTTGAAATCTTCAAACGACCATTGTAGATCACTACGATGTCAGATATGACATCGTCCACTTTCGCCTCCACATGGGTATCGTATAAAAATTGGCTCTCGTCACCTTTTTTCACATGCAATCTCACCATTTCTATCAAGTTAAAATGTACAACTTTGAACTTGAAACAAATTGAAATTTCTGTGTTATAAAGTAATTATAAACATAAAGTTTTTGATTGAGACAATGAATGGTTACTGATTATAATTATTATTAATTTAACTTGAACGTCAAAATGAATTATGCTATTAAGTGCATCAGCGAGTTGTCACGAGAAACCACGAGGAGAACTAAACATCCAACGATCCAACACATATTCGCCCAACGAAAGCTTGAACAACGTCAGGATGATGCATCGTCCATGGTAACACAAGTTATCGATTAAACAATGCAAATACAGCGTACAATATGAAAGAATAAAATGTTCACACAATTAATAAATAGCTGAAAAAAATTAGACTGGCCAAACAATAGCAATAATAAAGGAGGCAACGAAAATGGATCGATAAAAATAGGAAGATGTTTCTCAATAAATATATAACTTTGTGTTGCTCATTATTATATAATATACATATTTACATTCTAGTGGAACACGGATTACAAGAATAAAGACGTTCATATATCGTTACAAATATGAAGAAACGCCGACGACGCATCTCCATTTTGGTCGTCGTGTTTCTACTGGCGTTTTTGACACAAAAATATGATATATTTATATGATTACTTAACGTCAATATATAATATATATATATATATAGCAGCAATTAATAATATTTTAAATATTTTCGGCGCAACGTTGCACAATAAAAATCTATGTCATAATTCATAATTCTCGGCTATAATATAAGTGACTAGTATTACGTTAAAATACACTTAGAATTTCAATTCGATGAGGTGCATCTTACGCAGGTCATTTTCCTGTTTGAGGTTCAAACAAAATGATCCATGGGCGTAACAAATAATCGGTTTCAATCCGTCAAATAAAATTTTGTTATGACTGTTTAAACATCACGTTGTCGTTGAGTGATGTGCATACTGGAAATTTCAACCTGGTTTCCCTTTTTTTATCACTTTTATGTTTAACGTTTCACTCAGCTATTTGTTACGCCCACGTGATGGTCCCTATGATAATTGTTGCATACGGACATGTCAAACGATTAAACATCCTAAGCGTGTGTCTTAAATTTGCGAGCGCAATTAGTTAACTCGCGACAATTCCGAAATAGACACTGCAAAAATGAATATCTTTTTTTGTTCATTTGAACTCTTAACATCGACACGAGTAACAGTGATAATTGCTTACGTCGAGTGGAGTCATCATCATACCACTCGCGGAACATGATGGAACAACGAGATTTGGAAACTTACACTTTACTCAAAATCCTTTCGCATTGCTTGAACTGCCTTTGCAATCTCGACAGTAAATCTACAATAACGAGCAGAGCTGCACAATGCACTGCTTTATTTACACAAATCGTTATATGAGAAATATTTTTAGTCTCACAAAAATAAAGTCTAAAATATTTTATCTATTGTAAATTAAAAAAGATAAAATAAGATCACATTTGATGCTAAGAAAACAAACGATAGGCATAACATTCTCTATGTATAACCACAAGTTATTTTTATTTAATTGTAGCCTCACTATATATTTTTCACACAACAGCTTAAACGGCGCAGCAATGCATCATGTAACTCCGACACTGAAACGGCGTAGTTCTTTCTTTTACATGTAACAGACACGTGCTTATAAGAGCACATTTATAAATAGACACACGTGTATGCGACATTTACATATCGGTTCGTCTACGTGTGACAACACTTATGAGAGAGGAAGAAAATTCCTCTATCGAGACGTAAATCGACTACTTTAATATGATACTCTATACAATAGAAAAATTGGCATTTGGTCCGAAAAAAATATATGAAATGCATGTGAAATCTATATTCTGAAACAATACCCTATCTAGGCTTCGTCCTATTTTTAAGAGCCTGACGGAAACATTAATCAAGCAACATCGTCATTACAAATGATAACGAACGCCATCAACTTAGATGTGGTTTCGTTTACAGCTGTCATTGTAACTAATTGGTGCATTCTACAAGTTTGAATGATTCTGTATAGCGACATTTTATTATAATTCGGTCCCACGGATTCATTTGTTCTTGTTAAAAGTTTTATTAGGGCACATACAATATTATGGTTCTGCCCAGTTATATAGAAAAATATTTGACATGAAGTCAAGTAATAAAATTTTGTTGCAAAAATAAAATATTTAAAAAATTTAGTTATATCGTAATTTATATTATAATTTGTACAAGTCAAAACAATAACTTTTTATATCAGAAAGTTTTATTGATTTTATGAGAAAAATATCGTTAATATATCAACTTTATTTGTTCATCATAAAGTTTTATTAGGGCACATATTATAAATGTGCCTAATTGTAGTTATAGAAAAATATTTTTGACATGAAGTCTAGTAATAAAATTTTGTTGCAAAAATAAGATATTAAAAAAAATATTTGTGTATTTAATTTGTATTATAATTTGTACAAGTTAAAATAACTTTTTATATCAGGAAGTTTTATCGATTATGATATTGTGAGAAAAATATCGTTAATATTAACTCTTGCTCTCTGATATATCATTCTGTCTTATTTTTATCGAAGATATGAACTTGCTACGGTACAGAATAAACCCATGGATTCGCTATTTTCATAAACACATACACATAGTCGTCGAAAACACCGAATGACGTTCATCTATCTCGCAACCGGAAATATTTATCGATCATTTTTTATCTTTCAGCATTAAAATGTGATCAAATAAAAAAATTGTAGCAAGATGCAATTTCAGATCGCATTTAATCGTAACTTTATAGAATTTATAAATTCTCAAACAATAACAATGTCAGAAAATTGTGAAAAAGTCATCTTTCATATTCCGAAATTTAGCCGATTTATCGAGACGCACATAAGCGATCTTCATTAAAATTGTTCAGGAAGATCGTTCATTCTCATTCTATATATTCCATTCCTTACAACTTTCATGACAAACGGACGGCAAGATTTTTGGACAGTAAACGTCATACGGAGGATTCTATTACTATATACTACTATACGATAAAATAGATTGCTTATCTCAAGTTCAAAAACAGTTGAACGAAGCTAACTACGACATCGGTGGGTCTTGGTTATTGATCGCGCTGATCAATCGAGATTATTCCTCGTCGATAGTAGGCTGGACTTGTAATACGTCCTTTAGGATCCTGTTGTCATACTGTTGCTCATCGGGTACTTGGAGAGTAGACATGGAAGTGGAAGTGGAAGTGGACGTGGACGTGGAAGTGGATATGGAAGTTAATGTGGAAGAGGACGAAGAGGATGAAGGAAAAGAAGAACCGTGCAACAATAGCTGTTGCACGGTACTCTGTTCTCAAACTTTACTTTCGGGCCCGTCAGTGGTGTGCTTGAAAGAACTACGGATTTTGCTGAGATGAAGAGCAGCGATATGTCCATAGCTCTTATTGTACCATTCAGGTGTGCGTCCCCTGAAAGCAAATTATTCCACTTAGATTTTTGTCTAATCTGAAGTCTATTTAATATGATATTTATTTTAAATCAATAATAAAAGAATCATTTTTTAATAATTAAAAATGAATAATTAATTTTAAATAAATAAAGATAAATAATTAATTTGAAATATATTTTTTGAAACACAAAACATTCTTTAAAAAATGTGAAGAATCAAGCAAGATAAAGTGGATAATACATTTAAACAAATATTTTGATATTAATTACTTTGTATCGACTCTAGATAAATGCATAATGCGAGATTTGCCGCTGCCACATGGTTCGATAAGATAACGTGAGGCTAAAACGATGCCGCGAGTTCCTCCGAGCATGACAGGGGCATCTGGATGTTGCACGGATGTTTCGACAATGACGCAAGCACCTTTGGGAAGATCATTTCGCCAAGATCTGCAAAAATTAATTATACTAATTAGAAACCGTAAACATCTCTAGTAATCGTGTTCATAGAAAATAAAATATTTGTTATAAAAGTATAATAATTTTAAAATATATTTCCTTTTTATTTAAAATAAATAAAAAGAACAAGTGATTTGATCATGACAACTGATGTAACTTTATTAATTCACCTTAATACACAATAATCTCGAGCGGGCAGCGGACTCATGTTTCCTGTGGCATATTGGAAGACCTCCACATTGGTGTCCAATTTGGTCACCAGTCTGTATTTTAAAAGTTGTGGATCCCAGATGTGTCTTTCTCTTAGCACACGATGTAACAGCTCGTTTGGAGGAGCCTCGACTTCGGTTGATACTCGCCAGAGACGAAGCGGATGTCCATCGCCAACCTTTTTATATGCCATTTCTACGCTGTTATCAGCAGGATTGTTTACTGTGACCCAACCGCGACTTCTGCTAGAACGAATTGCAATCTTCAATTTAGCGCACATAAATCCTCTGTTAATTGATTTACCTTACTTATTTTAGTTACTTGTTTAATCTTGACTTGATATATTGTATTATATTTTTCTCAATCATCCTTTTATTTATATAAATAAATATATATATATCTTTAAGATTTAAAACTTTTTAATCGCTTATATGGTATATATTACTTCATTATTTTTCTCACAAATAAATTAAATCATAATAATGACATGTACTTACTTTTCTCGCGCTTCTTTCAACAGCGCCGTGGTACAGGCGTACAAGTATCCCCTCCAATCCTGCTTCAATTCCGAACCGAGTTCCTCCAGCGCGACTGGAATGCTCTCTTCCATGTAATTAAAGTGACACTGCGTCAGCATGTCCGACGAGACCTGAAAGAACCGGAAGAGGCATGAGCCGTGCCCTTCCCTCGTTCACGCTTGAGATCGAACCAAGCGAGCGCGCGAGCGATCGCGATCGACGAATAATGATACTTCAGTACTCACCATGAATAATTCACGATGCATCTTGACCAGATACAGAAGACAGTCGTGAGCAGCTTTATTTTCCGACAATTCTCGCTGATCGGGAATGCCCACAGTCTTTCGCCTACGTGGCGACACGCTGCTCGACCTGTTAGTCACGTTCGTGTTACTGTGGTTGAAGTGAAACAGGCTCGGGGCTAGACACACAGCCAGATTCGAGGCTGTCATTTGGTTATAAGGCGAGTTGCTGGCGACATGATTGAGGAAATCAAGCAGAGTTTCCAGTGCTTCGCGATGCTCGTCTGGGAGTAGTAACAGGACGCACTGAACAGCATCGGGTCGCAATTCTACTGGTACATCTGTGAAAACAACCGATCCATTGAAAAATCATGTTTCCCTCTTCGTAAATTAATTATACTTGTCCATTTTCAATGCTTTTTCGATATTTTTTTTATTTATTTTATTACATTACCGATTTTTTTTTCTTATTTCTATTGCTTATAATTTTTTTATTAATAAAAATACATAAATTTGCTTGATATCGTTATGTTTCTTAATGGCTAATACTTCGATTAAAAAAAATTATTTACAATATGTTTATTTTGATAAAAGTTACTTTAGAAGAGAAGGAATTGCACAAAACTTACGTTGGAAAATAGCAATAAACGTCTCCGACAACTTGTTTGTCAGCAGGGCTTCTGGCAACTCTCTAAAATACTGTTTGACAAGATCAGCGACATCGAATGCTTGCTGCCCATCAAAATTGATATTATCCCCCTGAGTCTCCGTCATAATCTTCAATTTCTGTATTCTCGACTTGACGCCGCTCTTTCTAAAGATGCCCACTTGATCCAGAGCGTTGGCTCTCAGCCATCTTAAAGCGATTTGGATACACTTAGGTAATGCTTGACCGGTCCTCTGTAGAGACAGCAAGAGTGGCACTCCGAAAACCGTCTTGTCTTTATAATCAGGCGTCTTAATTTTCCTGATAAATTTCGGAAGCTCCCAGTTCCAACCAGTGCGATGAGTCGGACAATACCGTTCCATGCATGCTGTGAGTTTTAGCAATGCCAGTTTCCTCAGAACTAAAAGTTGTCCACATGACATAGAAGCCATCGCTCTAGGACACAATGGATCTAAGGGTTCGGGATAGAGCGATCCTCTCTGGAAGCTGTGCCACCTCACAACGGTGCCCTTATGCCTAGGCAATTCTTCTTCCGGTTCGGAATCTCTACTGGCCACAGTGGAACCGCTCTCTTGGCTGCCGACCAATTCAGAGCTCCTGGACCTGGATTTTTCTCGGTAGACTGTCACCTCTTTAGACAATGACTTGCCTTCCCTATGGGATTCATCACGGCGCCGGAAGCTCTTGCGCATCTTATCCTCCCGCTTCGAGGATGTTGCCTTTTCATCTTTGTCTTGCGCGAGTTTGTCGCGATACCTCTGCGATTCCTTGCCGAGATTTAGGCTACCGCCGCGGGTGTTGATCGGTGAATTCTTTGCCGGCGTAGAATTTTGAGAACGCTCCTTGGAACTTTGAGAACGTACATTCACGAACTCTAGCACCTTAGCATGATTGCTGTTAGCATCGCGGAAATATCGGTGTCGCCAGTTCATTGGCTGGCATTCGGAGTCGCTCAGCGCGCCCTGATCCTCCCTGCCGCGATGTAGAAATCGGCGGGCGCGATTCATCTTTGTACGAGTCGGCGTCGGCGTCGGACCACCGCCTTGTGAACCGTCTGAGCAGTAGCTGGAGGAATCGTCGCCGAAGGGACTAGGCGCATTCGCCATCGGCGACGGTGGTAGGTGATATGGAGAGGCCGGTAAAGTGACCGGTGAACCGGGAATTTGTACAGGCGTAACTGATAGGAGTTCGTTGAAGGACACCGGCGCCGGCTCTGTAGGCGACACGTCAACGCAGTTCAGTTCCTTCATCTTCTGCTGCATAGACATCACATCGAGCACCTGGGGTCCGCTGATTACCACCCCGTCACGATTCTGACGTTTCCTCCGCCGTGATTTTAAGGACTCTACGCGTCTCAGAAAAGCTTTTGCGCCGTCCCGTAGCCTCTCCGAACCGGATCTACGAAACCGCGTACCGTTTTCCCCATCAGGAAGCGTTCCTGGTGGTAAGCTGCCGTACCGTAGATTCTCCAGCATGGTATCTTCCGCCTCTTCAGCCTCCAGACGATCCTCGATGGAGTCGTCCTCGGACGCAGCATTCTGTCCGGCGATCGCTTGCAGCCTCTCTACGTTTGCCGTTGTAACGTCGCCTATGCGTGACCAGCGTCTTGTCCTTTTCTCGAAAGTCCATTTTTCGCTCAAGGCGCATTGCGTGTCCTCGTCGGATTCATCACCACCAGCACTCTGTATCACAAATAATAACACATAATTTAAAATAAATTTAATACATAACAATATTAATTATAATATATACTATAAATATAATATTTCTAAGAATTAATGTAAAATTCTATAATAAATATAAATAATAAACCGGAGAAAAAAAACAAAAAGATACGATAATAAATAATTGGATAGATTTATGATTTTAATAAAGTCATTTCCGTTACAGAGAAAACACATTAATCAGTTTAAAGAAAAATTGGTTTATTATCATTAGACCATCATTAAAGCATTATATTTAATTAAATTACTATACAGATAACAATCATAATAATTAATTTTAACAAGAATATCATAGTCATTCTGATTGACCTAAATTTCCAAGCAAAAACGCGATCCGGCAAAATGTGATTCACCAGGCTGAATCACGATTCAGATCCAGCTGAATCTGGATCCGGGAATTTGATTCGAATGTGAGAATTCAATTCGTGCAGCTTTCGCGAGCAGGGCCTCGAACCCATTTGTTTCGCACGAGGATAATCCTGTCGCGTGCAAGGTGCGATTCGGGCAAGTACAAAGTAAGTAATAAACTAGCCGACCGGCGGGTGTAATCCGTAAAAGCTTGGGCGTTTCTTCCGCGGGATTACAGTGGGCTAACAAAGTGGCGAAAGAATGTGTGACTCACGTTTATCTGGCGTAACGTCCATATGAGAGAGAAACGTAACGCTGGAAATAAACTATACTCATTGAATGTTTAATGAACGACAGTACTTCGCAATCAATTCGTAACGATGAAATTAAGGACCGCCGCCAGTAAAGAACAGGCGAATCGCGCCCGTGCTCTATAATTAATTGTAGAAAGTGTTCCGTGCACTGGCCACTTTTACCACAGTTGTAATCGGCGATGGGGTCTTAGGGTCTCAAGTTAAGTATTTCCTGCTGTGCCCTCGGTAATAAAGGAAAAAAGAAATTACCGGCTCCATAATCGTGAGGTCATTAGCTGGCGTAATAAGAATTAAGTGGTTTCCGAAGGACCGGGAAATTCGAGATTTTCGAGACAAATATTGCTGTTATCACGTATTAATGCGTCACCAGGGTAACTTGGACTAAATTCCGATTAACTTAATCGACGGTTAACTCGAGCGACAAATTTCCGTTTCTATCAGCGTAGTTTAATTTTAATCTTCGTTCAACAACTCTTCATCTTTTCTAGTTCTAAAAATTAGAAAAAATAAAAAGTAAGTTGAACTGAAATGGAAGTTAATCTACATTGATAGAAACGAGGGCAAGAATCACTTAAGACACTATCTCTAATATACAGTTATTCTTAATATCCTTCTTTTGATTATAATTTTATTTATTTATTATTTAATAAATATTAATCTAACAAAGAAAGGACAATAAGAGTCAGATAGTAAATAAAATAAAATAAAGCGGTTAAAACATTTAACTTTAACTGTGTATATACATAGAAATAATTGAAATACAATAAATAAATTAGAAGTACTTAGCCGCTTATGATGTTATAAGAATGATAAGCGGCTAAGTACTTCTAATTTATTTATTGTATTTCAATTATTTCTATGTATATACACAGTTAAAGTTAAAGTTTAAATGTTTTAACCGCTTTATTTTATTTTATTTACTATCTGACTCTTATTGTCCTTTCTTTGTTAGATTATTATTTTATATAAAGAGTCCTTTATTTTTCATTTTATTAATAAATATTATTAAATATAATAGTGCTGATTAAATTAATCTAAGTTTGGTTGAAGTTGCTCTCGACAAAGTAAAAAGAATGATATTATAGTGGAAATAAAACATTGCCAGATGTTGGCCGGAAGATATAAAAATTAAGTAATCTCGTGTGTGAATGATATATAACAATTTCTTGTACCATATAACAATCAGTTTCATTCCAGATCACCATCAATTCAAGAAGTGTTACAATAACATTTTAAATTTCCGTCACGTCAAAACAGTTTACGTCCTAATTATGTCTCCTAAATTAAATTTCATTGTACCTTCTAAAATTTATGGTAGGCTATTACTGACTTATACCAGTGTTCCGCTCAACGGCCCGTCCGACGAACTGACATGACCTCAAACCGCTTGTTCCTAATTCATTTCGGGAAGCTTTGGACGTCCGAAAGAATGATTGTGCGCTTTTATCGCCATAATAAATCCCGTTTTATGTAGGAAATACGGCGTTTCCTAAGGCAGGATTATGATACATGTTGTAAAAAATAATTTATTAGAACGATCTCGCGTAGCGCAGCACGGTGTTGAGTGGCTAACGCTCGAAATGGGTTTGCAGGTCTCCGTGGATGAGAAACATACGAAGTTTCGTTTTTTCGCGTCTCCCACGTGTATCTTGTTTTTTCCTCGTTCGATTACGCGAGTGACCGAATAATGAGGTGGTGCTTCTCCTCGGGGATGTGGGCCACGGATAAAAATACGCGACATTGCACGCGCGGGATATCGGCCTGGAAACAAGACGTGGGCGCCGCCGGCAAAAAATAGATTTTTAAGATTTCGAAGTGCATTTCGCGTTCTGTATTGGCCTAATGCTACAGGCGGGGCAGGCGAACGAGCTTTCGAAACCTTTTCGTCGAGGCGACAGAAATAAAATCGGCTGGATGACGTCTGACAACGACGTCGTCGACGGTGTCGTCAGCGACGCAGTGAAGACGACTTCGGTGACAAACGTCGAGCCTTTGACGAAGCCTAAGAAGCAAGGCTCACGTTTTGGTGTAAGGCGCGGTATAATTGCGAAACTATTTTTGCGCCGCTAATTATTCCTTCAGATGGCCCTGTGCGCATAAATAAAACATCTCTTTTGCGTGCGGTAACACAGAAATGGTACATTTCTTTTTTAGTGGCGCCGGGTGACATCAATCATCCGAGAATTGGTATACCAATGTCATTATAATACTTATACTCATCTAACTAAAAATAAATCAAACGAGAAGTAAATACAAAATGCATCCTAGTTAATTTTAACAACATAAAAATACAACTTTTACAATATTATTTTTGATTTTGTTATCCTGTAATAAAGGTATCTTATAATAAATATTTAGTCGAGTTAGAGAATAAGATGTTGCAAGAAATGTTACTCAATCGATATTTATGCTTTAACCGTTTGACTGCTGAACCGATTTTCGTAATCAGTCCTCTTACGCCAAACGGAAGTATTTTTATATCAGGAGTAGTTAACTTTTTTGTCTGATATGCCATTATAAAGGTTCAAAATCTTTAGTGTTCCACTGTGCTACAAGCGAAGAAGAATCATAATCTTATTTATACTTTCTTCTTTTGTAAAAGCAAAAACTTCTTCTTTCTTTTACTAAACCGTTTTACACATTCGTGTTTAAATAAATAATTTAGCGCGAAAATAAATAAAATAAATGCAGTCAAAAGTACAAAAAATAGATTTTAGTAACGCACGGTTACTATATTACTGTTATCTATTATTTTTAATTTTTACAAATTGATACGCGACATCTTGAAGTCACATAGGTGTGTACCTAATTGGACACACATGTAGTCAAAATGTTAAGTCAGCGCTTTATGAAGAGTTGCATGATTTTCCTTTCGTAGACTGTTGCATTTCTTGTAAATTGCGTATTCATAACTAAGATTGCTAAGATTCAAAACGTGATTCTCGCTTCTTAGATGAGAAATGTGCGCTTGTGTGTGTATGTACGTGTGTTAAACGGTGCCACCGTGCAAATCGTATACGAGGCTTTCCTATGGCGAGACCGGGTCTATTGTCATGTATTAGCGTGGATCACGTGAGGTCGCACACAGACATACAGTGTATTTGTGTGTACTCAACGTGAAAATACAAAGGCGTCAAGTTTCGTAACGAGGAGCGATGTGTCGGTCCTATTGTTAGAAAGCCAACCGTCTTCGGGACGCACGAAAAGACGCCCGTTTTGGCTTAGTCACCTTTATATGGGGACTTGAAGAGATACCATAAGAAGTCGCAGGGGTCACCATGTCGTTTCTCTTTTCTCGGTAACGAAGCAACTAGGGCAGCCTCTGATAGAACGGATTGATGGATAACAGCGGAACGAAAAGCTCTCGGATGCGTGAATGCCGATAACGACTTTCCAGATCAACAAAAACTGGAAGGCTAAATAGAATCTCTCGTTCGCGAATTGCGATAAGTACTTGGCATCATGACGATGAGGCTGACGAGAATATAAAGTATCCATTACTCTTTCAACGTATAAAATTAATGGTTTACTTTACCGACATAATTCAGAAGCGTTTCAGTTTACATTGATCATTTATATCCTCAAGTTTTTTCTTGGATATAAATGCAAATTAATACAAACCATCGCATCTTCAACTACGAGAAGAACGATACTTCGATTTTTATTCCATGGCGCGTATTCTGATTATTTTTACTTTCTCCTCGACATTTCGCCGTCATCGTTATTAAGTATTACACCGGCGTCACGTTTGACGAAGGGCGAGACGGCGAGACGACTCTACGAGCCAACGACGAAGGCTATAGATATGTATTTATGTCGCGGAGGATCGACGCGATAGACACTTTTCTTCATCCTCCTCCTCCGAGGATGCACCTTTAGTAATGCATCTAACGCGAGAGCGTCGGCATCAATTCTCTCTCTCTTTCTATCTTCCTCCTTCGTATATAAGTTTCGCGGCTGATTACCATCCGTTCGGCACTTGAATCGTTCACTCGCTCACATGCACGTATCTGCGTTTCCGTTCCGGCGTATTACTACGAAAGACGTGACGATACCCCTATACGTGAGTTATTTCCGCGCGGCACTCAACGAGCCGTATCGCCCCGCCGTGTGTACGGTCGACGTCACTTCCGTCTAAGCAGGTTGAACAAACCTCCGTCCGTTGTTTTTCTGGGCCTGGACGATGGACGGTCCGACATACACGCGCGAATACGTGCGTGTATGGAAGGATTCTCGTTACGCAAGAGAATAAAAAATTCAACTTGAGTTCCAACAAATATCCTATTAAATGCATAT